ACTAGTTAAGTATTATTGATTCATTTAATCTTTATAAAATTGTAATTTTCCTTTATTAGCTGAGTCCATTAAGCTGTATGTGATGGCACCAGAGGGCAAGCCTAGTTTCTAGAACCTAATCAACATTTTTCATTCATTGAGCCTAAACATGAAAATAACTAACCTAACATAATTCACTTTTATAAGAGATTCCTGGGGAAAATCTATAAAAGCCTAGAATGTTACAGGAAGGAGTCCTGAAAATAAATGATCACAAACATTTAAGAATAATTTATAAAAAGCATTTGTGCCAACCAAGAGACACTATGAACCTATATTTGAATGTCATGAATCTAAACTTACATAAGAATTTTGCTTCTCAAATAAGTTGTGATAATTATTTGCTAAATTGTAATGTATTCAAAATTGACTTTTGCATGCCACTCTGCTCTATGGTGAATAGTACAGTCTTATTCACTACTGTACTATTTATCTGTATTTATCCTGGTACTTGTCCCCAAGGTTGCAATTTTACACTTTTCTTATGCATATTCTACAATTTAAAACTATATTATTAAATATAAGATAAATAAACTTCTAATAAATGTTTGAATTTTCACATAAAATAGTTTATGGATTCTCATTCAATGCATGAATTGTTTAACAATGTTAGCTGATGGGGGAGGTCCTTCTGTGTATATGTTTGTCTTATTGTTTGATAAATAAAGCACTATTGGCCAATAGGGAAGCAAGACAGGTGGGGCTAGGAGTCGAGCAGGATTCTGGGAAACGTAGTAAAGAGGAGTCGCCATGTGATCCCAGGGAAGAGAGGACACATGCTGCTGGCATCCTCGATAAGTTTTTATAAAGTATATAGATTAATGGTTATGGTTGACACTTAAGACAGAGCAAGCAAATAAGAAATCCTAGTCATTGGCCAGCAGCATTGTAAATAAGTCTCTCTGTGTTATTTGTGGGCTCTAACGTGGCAGTGGAACTCAGTCAGCTGGCAGAAAGAGTTATCATTACAAATGGCACCCACATGGTTTTACAAATTTCCACATAAAAACTTCACAAAAGCTTAAAAAGTGATTTTAGAAGCAAAAGAACAGAGACAAGCACGACTCCTTGGTAGTAGCATTTTCTTAGGTGGTCTCTGTTTTGCTAGAGACAAGCAGAGATGCCAGTGGCTCCCTTAAGGGAGGTCTCCTGCCTCAGCATAAGCGGAAAAAAATGCAGGGCTCTTTTAAGAGACCCTGCTAACAACTGAATGTTATGTACAAGCAGCTGGCAGTGGCAGTGACCAAATCTCCAAGCCGGCAGCATGCTCCTTAATGGCAGCATAGGCCAAGGCAGTGAGCACAGCTCTCAGTGCTGGCAGTAAATTTACCCCTGCCATTTTGGAAAGACAGTGGCTAAAACAGTCATGGCTTTAATTTTAACAATGTTGTTTAGGAGATAAAAGGCTAGTACCCAAAAAAGATAAAGGTATACAGTAAAGACAGATTCAGACGGAAAAAGTAAAACCTCTAAAGGTTTATAATGTGTTTAAAAAATATGTAGGCTTGTGAAAGAAAAGAAACAGGATAAAGTAATTAAAAGAAAGAAGGAAGGAAGGAAGAGAGGGATGAAGGAAGGAAGGAAGGAAGGAAGGAAGGAAGGAAGGAAGGAAGGAAGGAAGGAAAAGAAAAACAAAAGTAGCCAGGCAGTGGTGGCATGCACCTTTAATCCCAGCACTTAGGAGGCAGAGGCAAGCAGATCTCTGTGATTTCAAGGCCAGCCTGGTATACAGAGTGAGTTCAAGGGCAGCCAAAGTTACACAGAGAAACCCTGTTCTCATAAAAGGAAAAAATAAAAGCAAAAGAAGTAGAGTTATAAAAATAAATAAATAAGCCATGTAAAGATGGAAAATACACAGAGAGTCTGGATACTATATGCTATATTGTTGTCTTTAAATTGTTTGATTGCCTAGGAAAGAGCTACAGCTGCTAAAATACATTTGATTATAGGTGCTGCTAAATTAATCCAACTTATATACTTTAAAATGCTATGACTTCTAAATTTAAAAATAAGGACAGGTTACTTGGAAAAAGAGTTTTTGCTTGTTTCCACAGAAAATGTAAAGCTATGGATTCCTTTCAGACTAATATAGTTTGATGAAGCAAGACCCCCTAAAACAGTGTCCCAGGTGATCCAGCTTATAAAACAGCTAAGATGATACAGCCTTACAGACTACAAAAACAGGGACCTGGCCAGGTTTCTGTGTTTTATCATTATCCCCATGGTATGGACATCGCCCCAACCAGAAGGAAGCAGTTTGGGATGAATGACGCCCAAATTCCCAAATATTGTTTATAAATGTTTGTTTTCATTTAAATGGGGTTGGTTATAAATGGTAACGATCACAGTCAATCTCTTTTTAAAGGAAAAAGGGGGAATAGGATATATAAATGACTACTTTACATTGGTAGGATTTTCATTTATTGATACAACTTTAAGATCAATTTTCTGATATGTATATGTCTCCTCTTGTTTAGGTATTGTGTTTATACATATATTTTAAAATGTAATGCATAATTAAATACAGATTGTATAAGTCAGATATACTAGTCAAAACTTACAGTTAGGTTAGTTAGGTTTTCTTGATATACAAAGATGTGTTTGAGATGGATAGATATTCTTCAAACCATTCAAAGACCTACAGAATACACCGCATTTAAATGGTTTAGGTTTTTTATGGCGGGGGGGACC